CTACCTAACCTAACCTTACCTATAAATATAGGTTAGGTTAGGTTAGGTAGGGTTGGTTAGGTTCGGTCATATATCTACGTTAATTTTAACTCCAATAAAAATAAATTGACCTCATACATAGTGAAAAGGGAAGCTTTATCATTTCATAAGAAAAAATTATAGTAAAAATATTAATTCAGGAAAACTTGGCTTATTAGGCAAATCGGGCCTTGAATAGTAGGCTGAGAAGTGAGTTCTGGCTACTAGGTACAACATATATATATATATATATATATATATATATATATATATATATATATATATATATATATATATATATATATATATATATATATATATATATGGTTTTTGGTTATATATATATGTCGTACCTAGTAGCCAGAACGCACTTCTCAGCCTACTATGCAAGGCCCGATTTGCCTAATAATCCAAGTTTTACTGAATTAATATATTTTCTCTAATTTTTTTCTTATGAAATGATAAAGCTACCCATTTCATTATGTAAGAGGTCAATTTTTTTTATTGGAGTTAAAATTAACGTAGATATAGGACCGAACCTAACCAACCCTACCTAACCTAACCTAACCTATCTTTATAGGTTAGGTTAGGTTATGTAGCCTAAAAAGTTAGGTTAGGTTAGGTTGTCGAAAAAACATTAATTCATGAAAACTTGGCTTATTAGGCAAATCGGGCCTTGAATAGTAGGCTGAGAAGTGAGTTCTGGCTACTAGGTACGACATATTATATATATATATATATATATATATATATATATATATATATATAAATAAGAGAGAGAGAGAGGGCAAAAGTCAGTAAAATTAAGAGGAACCCAAAATATGTATTCACCTATGCGAAGTTCAGATAAAAAACAAAGCCTAGTGTTTACTTATAGAGAGGTGAATACAGGAACACGTGACAGGTGACTCCTGTTAGCAGGGTGCCAGCTTTCCCTTCCCATAACTCAAGGTGAGCCTTGCCCACTAGTTTCCCTGGAACACGACCCGCCAATCGGTTAACAACCAGGTACCCAATCAATGTTGGGTGAACAGAGGCGTACAGTTAAGGATTGGCGCCTAGTCAATCCTCCCTTCATGGATAACAAAACAAACCTGGATGAAATACTTAAGATAGAGTACGACTGTCATCAGTGAACCACTGAACGCACTGAGGAGTAATTATCACCTAAATCAATTTGGGTTGAACATGGCACCAAGCACAACTGTCATCTCTGGGGTCTCCTTGACACGCGAGACTTTGACGTTACCATGTGGGCGCGCGCTCCCTCGCACGCCCACACTCCTACAACTCCATATATCACCAAGAATTGCAAAAACCATCAAAGGCTTTACAAATTATATGAAGGCGAGGCCTTCATATAAGGAGGGATCAAAACAGAAGCCAAGAACACTAACATTACACACACAAGACGTGTGAGAGAGTGACAAGACGTCAGATCACACACCAGTTATAATAGTGTAAATAACCTTGGTCAATATGGGCTCCCAGCAGGACCCTCCTGCCGCTCACAGCTGGCACACCACCACAACACACTCCTGCCACTCACAGCTGGCACACCACCACAACACACTCCTGCCGCTCACAGCTGGCACACCACCACAACACACTCCTGCCGCTCACAGCTGGCACACCACCACAACACGCTCCTGCCTCTCACAGCTGGCACACCACAACACGCTCCTGCCGCCACAGCTGGCACACCACCACAACACGCTCCTGCCGCTCACAGCTGGCACACCACAACACGCTCCTGCCGCTCACAGCTGGCACACCACCACAACACGCTCCTGCCTCTCACAGCTGGCACACCACCACAACACGCTCCTGCCGCTCACAGCTGGCACACCACCACAACACGCTCCTGCCTCTCACAGCTGGCACACCACCACAACACGCTCCTGCCTCTCACAGCTGGCACACCACCACAACACGTTCCTGCCTCTCACAGCTGGCACACCACCACAACACGCTCCTGCCTCTCACAGCTGGCACACCACAACACACTCCTGCCTCTCACAGCTGGCACACCACCACAACACACTCCTGCCGCTCACAGCTGGCACACCACCACAACACACTCCTGCCGCTCACAGCTGGCACACCACCACAACACCCTCCTGCCGCTCACAGCTGGCACACCACCACAACACACTCCTGCCGCTCACAGCTGGCACACCACCACAACACACTCCTGCCGCTCACAGCTGGCACACCACCACAACACACTCCTGCCGCTCACAGCTGGCACACCACCACAACACACTCCTGCCGCTCACAGCTGGCACACCACCACAACACGCCCCTGCCTCTCACAGCTGGCACACCACCACAACACACTCCTGCCTCTCACAGCTGGCACACCACCACAACACACTCCTGCCGCTCACAGCTGGCACACCACCACAACACACTCCTGCCGCTCACAGCTGGCACACCACCACAACACACTCCTGCCGCTCACAGCTGGCACACCACCACAACACACTCCTGCCGCTCACAGCTGGCACACCACCACAACATACTACTGCCGCTCACAGCTGGCACACCACCACAACACACTCCTGCCGCTCACAGCTGGCACACCACCACAACACACTACTGCCGCTCACAGCTGGCACACCACCACAACACGCCCCTGCTGGCCAGGGACCACAAGCAGAACAACCATGAAATATACAAATAGTTGACAAAAGTTGAGCCAAACGTGACCATGGTGATATTGTACACAAAATGAGCATGAAAGGGATAACTGGTTAACTAGCAAGATGGATCTGTAATGGCTTAACAAATAACACCACGAGCGTAAGTCATCAAAATCATTCCGGATCAACCGTGAGAACTTTTTACTGGCTGAATTAATTCAATAAAACACCTATATTATTGGGAGCGCTTAAACCTTCAAACTATACTCCCTGGAGTGCGGGCTAGACAGAGCGCGAGACAGAGAGCGAGGCAGAGAGAGAGCGAGCTAGAGTGCCAGAGTGCGCGAGAGAGACCGACCGACCTCATGAACATCAATTTAAGAAATATTAGAGTTGGACACATTCCAGGTTTGCACAATTAAATAATTCTTTACGAAACCAGTAGACATGTATAATACCTGGATCATACCTGCAGTGGGTTCTGGGAGTGTTACTCTTGACTTGCTTGACTTGCGATAACTGGGTCCACCAGACCGTTGTTTAGAGTGGACCTCTGGGCCACATACCCACACAACCCGTCTTGTCTGGCCCAGTACCTCTTGCACCAGTGTCTACACATTTTTTCAAGTCCACTTTTGTTCTGGCAATATTGGTTGACCAGACCATCAACCAGGAGGCCGGTTGATGGTTAACGTACCTTACCTTGAGGAGCTTCCGGGACTTGGTAAGGATCCATCGAGTGAGCCCCGAACCATCAACAGGTACCAGACTCTCCAAACTCTCGAACCATCAACAGGTACCAGACTCTCCAAACTCTCGAACCATCAACAGGTACCAGACTCTCCAAACTCTCGAACCATCAACAGGTACCAGACTCTCCAAACTCTCGAACCATCAACAGGTACCAGACTCTCCAAACTCTCGAACCATCAACAGGTACCAGACTCTCCAAACTCTCGAACCATCAACAGGTACCAGACTCTCCAAACTCTCGAACCATCAACAGGTACCAGACTCTCCAAACTCTCGAACCATCAACAGGTACCAGACTCTCCAAACTCTCGAACCATCAACAGGTACCAGACTCTCCAAACTCTCGAACCATCAACAGGTACCAGACCACCAAACTCTCACAAGTCGAGCCTGGCCTCGGGCCGGGCTTGGGGAGTAGAAGAACTCCCAGAACCCCATCAACCAGGTATCACCCAGGTATCAACCAGGTAGGCAGTAGGTAAGGTACTAAAGAGACGAGAACCTCTGATGGTCACACAGTGTCTCTCAGTGTCTGTAGCCACTCTTCACTGCCATGTCGTTTACTACATAAACATAACAACATACTCCACTATGTTGTTAGTTTATTGTGCAAATTTGGAACCTGGCCTTCCAGTATCTTCCATGTGTGTGTGTATTATGTAATTCCTCTTGCGTCTCCTGTCTAAAGAGTACATTTTAAGAGTTTTGAGAGTGTCCCAATAATTTAGATGCTTTATCGTGTCTATGCGTGCCGTATGTGTAAGAATAACAACAATAGTAATAATAATTTCATTCACCTGGGGCCAGATTCAGGGAAGCAGTTACGCAAGCACTTACGAACCTGGACCAAGATTCACGAAGTTCCGTGTACTCCTTCGTAAGTACTTGCGTAACTGCTTCGTGAATCTGGCTCCTGGACTCTAGGAGGCTCCTAGCGTCCAAGTGAATTAAATGTTTATTTCCACGGAAGTGTGGATGACGATTAATAATAACAATAATGATAATCTTACATAAAACTACATTTAACAAAGAGAGTAACAGGCAAAGTAGGCAATGATCTCTCCTGCTGAGCAATGGGAAGCGAGTACGGAGCAATAATCAAGGCAGAACACCACAAGTAATTTGGATATTATTAACATTGTGACGGGATCCCTGGATTTGAAGGTTCTCATGATTCATCACTTCATTTTCTTGGCTGATGATATATTTGGTACCTAATTAATGTACCAAATCAACCGGGCTGCGGTTGCTATACGTCGGAACACGTGGAGCAGCCACCACCAACAGACTCCAACCACACCGACAACCAGGAGATACATTAGAATACAAGGGTACAATACAGTACAAGGCAAGACAAGGCAGTACAAGGCAATACAGTAGCAGTTCTATACAAGAGGGAGAGATGAGAAGGTGGGGCTGAGGAGGTGAAGCTGTGCCATGCGTGCACACAAGCCCCGAGCAAGGCTACCATCCGCCACACAGCTGATGACTAACATTACAACAACACTCGTCTTCCCTCACAGGATACAACAATGGACAGATTTCCGGTAGTATTTAGACGTAATAACTTCACACACACCACAGCAACAGGCGCCACCACAGCAACAGACGCCACCACAGCAACAGGCGCCGCCACAGCAACAGGCGCCGCCACATCAACAGGCGCCGCCACAGCAACAGGCGCCGCCACAGCAACAGACGCCGCCACAGCAACAGGCGCCGCCACAGCAACAGACGCCGCCACAGCAACAGACGCCGCCACAGCAACAGACGCCGCCACAGCAACAGACGCCGCCACAGCAACAGACGCCGCCACAGCAACAGACGCCGCCACAGCAACAGACGCCGCCACAGCAACAGACGCCGCCACAGCAACAGACGCCGCCACAGCAACAGACGCCGCCACAGCAACAGACGCCACCACAGCAACAGGCGCCACCACAGCAACAGACGCCGCCACAGCAACAGACGCCACCACAGCAACAGACGCCGCCACAGCAACAGACGCCGCCACAGCAACAGACGCCGCCACAGCAACAGACGCCGCTACAGCAACAGACGCCGCCACAGCAAAGGACATACCGTAATAGAAGTTTATGCCTGGATTTATGGTACATCGGTAGCAGTAACAGAGGCCAGCACAGTAGCAGTAACAGAGGCCAGCACAGTAGCAGTAACAGAGGCCAGCACAGTAGCAGTAACAGAGGCCAGCACAGTAGCAGTAACAGAGGCCAGCACAGTAGCAGTAACAGAGGGCAGCACAGTAGCAGTAACAGAGGCCAGCACAGTAGCAGTAACAGAGGCCAGCACAGTAGCAGTAACAGAGGCCAGCACAGTAGCAGTAACAGAGGCCACCACAGTAGCAGTAACAGAGGCCACCACAGTAGCAGTAACAGAGGCCACCACAGTAGCAGTAACAGAGGCCACCACAGTAGCAGTAACAGAGGCCAGCACAGTAGCAGTAACAGAGGCCAGCACAGTAGCAGTAACAGAGGCCAGCACAGTAGCAGTAACAGAGGCCAGCACAGTAGCAGTAACAGAGGCCAGCACAGTAGCAGTAACAGAGGCCAGCACAGTAGCAGTAACAGAGGCCAGCACAGTAGCAGTAACAGAGGCCAGCACAGTAGCAGTAACAGAGGCCAGCACAGTAGCAGTAACAGAGGCCACAACAGTAGCAGTAACAGAGGCCAGCACAGTAGCAGTAACAGAGGCCAGCACAGTAGCAGTAACAGAGGCCAGCACAGTAGCAGTAACAGAGGCCAGCACAGTAGCAGTAACAGAGGCCAGCACAGTAGCAGTAACAGAGGCCAGCACAGTAGCAGTAACAGAGGCCAGCACAGTAGCAGTAACAGAGGCCAGCACAGTAGCAGTAACAGAGGCCAGCACAGTAGCAGTAACAGAGGCCAGCACAGTAGCAGTAACAGAGGCCAGCACAGTAGCAGTAACAGAGGCCAGCACAGTAGCAGTAACAGAGGCCAGCACAGTAGCAGTAACAGAGGCCAGCACAGTAGCAGTAACAGAGGCCAGCACAGTAGCAGTAACAGAGGCCAGCACAGTAGCAGTAACAGAGGCCAGCACAGTAGCAGTAACAGAGGCCAGCACAGTAGCAGTAACAGAGGCCAGCACAGTAGCAGTAACAGAGGCCAGCACAGTAGCAGTAACAGAGGCCAGCACAGTAGCAGTAACAGAGGCCAGCACAGTAGCGTGTTCACCCTCTCTGTGAGTCAGTGTTAACTTCTGGCCGGAAGTGACATTGGGAGTGTAATGACACACTGAGGGAATCGCTTCCCGTTGTCATTAGGACACGACACGTTAAACGGAGTGACTGAGCGGACGGGCACGAAGGCCAGGCATCCGGGCACACGTCAGGTGCGGATGAATGGAGAAGAACGAAAGGTGGATGGACAGAAGAAGACAGGTGGGGGAAACGGAGGGACAGGCGGCGAACACAAACAGATGTGGCAGCAGAGAGCAGGTGACAGGGAGACAACACGATGCCAACCATGTGTGTGGGCGTCCAGGGTGCCAAGAGCCCGGGCGTCCAGGGTGCCAAGAGCCCGGGCGTCCAGGGTGCCAAGAGCCCGGGCGTCCAGGGTGCCAAGAGCCCGGGCGTCCAGGGTGCCAAGAGCCCGGGCGTCCAGGGTGCCAAGAGCCCGGGCGTCCAGGGTGCCAAGAGCCCGGGCGTCCAGGGTGCCAAGAGCCCGGGCGTCCAGGGTGAGGCCAGCCACCGGAACCATCACAAGGTAGCAGCCACAAGGTGACACACACACACACACACACACACACTGTAAACAACCGATGCTCGAAAGGCGGGATCCAAGAGTCAATGCTCGATCCTGCAAGCACATATAGGTGAGTACATATAGGTGAGTACACACACACACACACACACACACACACACACACACACACACACACACACACATACGCGCGCGCGTGTGTAACATTACAACCATACGGAAGCATCACCACTGATCACCTGGGTCAAGGGAGGAGGAGGCGTATACATCACTGGGAGGAGGCGTATAGGCGTATACATCACTGGGAGAACATCAGCCACATCAGCCCAGCAACTTCTCAAAATACTCACCTGTGAAAGTCATTTACACTCCCCACACGTTTCTAAACGTCAAATTAATACATTGTCCTGCTGTTGTTACTGCTGGAGCCTCCGCACGTTGCCAGCAATGAACCCATACTTACTAGAGAAGGTTCACACACACACCACCACAAAGAAATTTGTGAAATCCTAAAAAATTCAGTTTGAGGCTATGTTTAACACCCCAATACACAGCAGCAACTACCTTGTCTATCTTGTGTACCAAAGTGGGAGATCTGCTCAGCTTCTTTAAAAATCCAAAATAACTACACCCACTACACTAGACTCTACACTACACCCAGCACACCAGACTCATCACCACACTACACCCACTACACTAGGCTCATCACCACACTACACTAGACTCATCACCACACTACACCCACTACACTAGACTCATCACCACACTACACTAGGCTCATCACCACACTACACTAGACTCATCACCACACTACACCCACTACACTAGACTCATCACCACACTACACTAGACTCATCACCACACTACACTAGGCTTATCACCACACTACACTAGACTCATCACCACACTACACCCACTACACTAGACTCATCACCACACTACACCACACTACACTAGACTCTACACTACACCCAGCACACCAGACTCATCACTACACTACACCCACTACACTAGGCTCATCACCACACTACACTAGACTCCTCACCACACTACACCCACTACACTAGACTCATCACCACACTACACCCACTACACTAGACTCATCACCACACTACACTAGGCTCATCACCACACTACACTAGACTCATCACCACACTACACCCACTACACTAGACTCATCACCACACTACACCACACTACACTAGACTCATCACCACACTACACCCACTACACTAGACTCATCACCACACTACACCCACTACACTAGGCTCATCACCACACTACACCCACTACACTAGGCTCATCACCACACTACACCCACTACACTAGGCTCATCACCACACTACACCCACTACACCAGACTCATCACCACACTACACCCACTACACTAGGCTCATCACCACACTACACCCACTACACTAGACTCATCACCACACTACACCCACTACACTAGACTCATCACCACACTACACTAGACTCATCACCACACTACACCCACTACACGAGACTCATCACCACACTACACTAGGCTCATCACCACACTACACCCACTACACTAGACTCATCACACTACACTAGACTCATCACCACACTACACTAGACTCATCACCACACTACACTAGGCTCATCACCACACTACACCCACTACACTAGACTCATCACCACACTACACTAGGCTCATCACCACACTACACCCACTACACTAGACTCATCACCACACTACACTAGACTCATCACCACACTACACCCACTACACTAGACTCATCACCACACTACACCCACTACACTAGACTCATCACCACACTACACCCACTACACTAGACTCATCACCACACTACACCCACTACACTAGGCTCATCACCACACTACACTAGGCTCATCACCACACTACACCCACTACACTAGACTCATCACCACACTACACTAGGCTCATCACCACACTACACCCACTACACTAGACTCATCACCACACTACACCCACTACACTAGACTCATCACCACACTACACTAGGCTCATCACCACACTACACCCACTACACTAGACTCATCACCACACTGCACCCACTACACTAGACTCATCACACTACACTAGGCTCATCACACTACACCCACTACACTAGACTCATCACCACACTACAGTAGGCTCATCACCACACTACACTAGGCTCATCACCACACTACACCCACTACACTAGACTCACCACACTACACCCACTACCTGGTTGATACCTGGTTGATGGGGTTCTGGGAGTTCTTCTACTCCCCAAGCCCGGCCCGAGGCCAGGCTCGACTTGTGAGAGTTTGGTCCACCAGGCTGTTGCTTGGAGCGGCCCGCAGGGCCACGTACCCACCACAGCCCGGCTGATCCGGAACTTCTCTTAGAAAACCGTCCAGTTTTCTCTTGAAGATGTCCACGGTTGTTCCGGCAATATTTCTTATGCTCGCTGGGAGGACGTTGAACAACCGCGGACCCCTGATGTTTATACAGTGCTCTCTGATTGTGCCTATGACACCTCTGCTCTTCACAGGTTCAATCTTGCATTTTCTTCCATATCGTTCACTCCAGTACGTTGTTATTTTACTGTGTAGATTTGGGACCTGACCCTCCAGTATTTTCCAGGTGTATATTATTTGGTATCTCTCTCGTCTCCTTTCTAGAGAGTACATTTGGAGAGCTTTGAGACGATCCCAATAATTTAGGTGTTTTATCTCGTCTATGCGTGCCGTATATGTTCTCTGTATTCCCTCTATTTCAGCAATCTCTCCTGCTCTGAAGGGGGAAGTGAGTACTGAGCAGTACTCGAGACGGGACAGCACAAGTGACTTGAAGAGTACAACCATTGTGATGGGATCCCTGGATTTGAAAGTTCTCGTAATCCATCCGATCATTTTTCTGGCTGACGCGATATTTGCTTGGTTATGCTCCCTAAACGTTAGATCGTCGGACATCATTATTCCCAAATCCTTGACATGCTGTTTTCCTACTATGGGAAGATTCGATTGTGTTTTGTACCCTGTATTATGTTTCAGATCCTCATTTTTGCCGTACCTGAGTACCTGAAATTTATCACTGTTAAACATCATGTTATTTTCTGCTGCCCAATCAAAAACTTTGTTGACATCTGCTTGTAGTTTTTCAATGTCTTCAGCAGAGGTAATTTTCATGCTGATTTTTGTGTCATCTGCAAAGGACGACACGAAGCTGTGGCGTGTATTTTTGTCTATATCAGATATGAGAATAAGGAACAGTAGCGGTGCAAGGACTGTACCTTGAGGTACAGAGCTTTTAACATCGCTTGGACTCGATTTTATCTGATTGACTGTTACTCTTTGTGTTCTGTTCGACAGGAAATTGAGTATCCAGCGTCCTA